GGATGGGGGAGCCCCCCCCACTACCAGCCACATCACAGCTCTTCTCTCCTGTTTTCTTCATTGCCCAGCAGGGTGGAGTGGGGAAGAGAGGGGGCTGGGGGCAGGGCCTCCCTCTCCCTTCTCCAGACCTTGCAAAGACTGGAGGGGGCTGTACCAGGAACACTGCAAAAGTGGACTCGATGGCACTCCATACTCATTAGCAGACATTAACATAAATACTACATTCCCTAAGCCGACTAAAGAGGGCCTCCCAGAGGCTGGGGATGTAGCTCAGTGGTAGAGCGCTTGCTGGGCAGAGCACATAGGAGACCCTGGGATCAATTCACAGCACTGAAAAAAAAAAAAAAAGCCTCCAAGAATGCTCTCTGGGGGCTCTGTATGCTCTAGTGGGGGTTGGGGGAGAACCTGACTAGGAATCACTCTCTTGGCAGGATTGTGGGTCCTGACACTCTGTCACCAGCTGTGCCTTTAGCTGAAGACTGCATCTCTCAGATCACTCTTATACCCCTGCAGCTGCAGCCACAGGGCCAGGCAGGTCTGGTGCACAATGAAGGCACTGAAGATTACTCTGTTGCCACCTCAGCTCTGGGCACACCAGGCCATTGGGGCCTTCAAAGGCCTCGAGGGAAACCCTTCATTGGTATCTCTTCCATCTGGCCTTTCAACCCTCTCTCCCTCTTTCAGGCTCAGCCTTTCTTCAACTCCCCTACTCTAGTGACTCCCACCCCAGCACAACTACTTTCTGACCCCTGTGCCAAGATCAGCCTCCTTCCCTCCCCTAGGCACTCCTCTGACTTCTTACTTCACAAGTTCCCAGACTACCCCTAGTAGTGTCCAAGCCCATCCCTACTGGGATCACTCTCAGAGAGGTCCTTCAGTCATGCTGAATATAGGACAAAGTCCCACATCCTCTACTTGCAGCTTGAAGTCTGACCTCTTCACCCTACTCCCATGCTGTGTCTCTGGTGTAATTCTGCCACTCCATATGTCTTCTCCAAAATACCCTGCTCTCAATTCCCTGACTCAGAGAGTTTGATGGGTGCATGCTGGGTGCCTGGGGACTGCCTTCTACTCTGAGAGTTCAAAAGGGTTAGGAGGATGCAAATCCCTATAGAGAGGGTATCCCTAGGATCTTCTTTAGAGCATTAGAAAAAGGGATCAGGATCAGTGTTTTGGGATGGGCTCAGATTCAGAACTCAGATAGCTTGTGGGATGCAGGCTCCTAGTCTGGCATTTCACAGCACTCTCCCCAGCTCAGCCCCTGCCAACCCTTCCACTTCTCCAGCTGCCCCATTTCTGGGATGCATCAGCTCTTTCAGTGCCAAGTTTTTGCCTGGATTGTGCCCTTAGTCCTTTAGGGCCCTTCCCTTAAAGAGTTACTAACTGCATTCTTCCTATTTATTCACTATCGGACCTCAGCTATCAGCCTTTCTCTGTGTAGTCCCAGACTCCTGTAAACCAGGTTCAAGCCTCAGAGTCAGCCTGTAGGTTCTCCCACTGTGGGGAGAGCAGCAGGGGTTATCATTACTGAGGACTCCAGGGCTCAGCAATAGGGACGCAGGAGAGAGCAGGCCTGTAGGAAGCCCTTCCACTTTCCTGGGTCTTGATGGGGAACTGAAGGCATACCTCAGACCACTCCTTGACCCTGCTCAGCTCCTCAGAAATTGACTCCCCTCACCCCAGTGAGGTCAGAAAGCAGAGCCCAAGGGAGGAAGGGCATACCAAACTGATTTTCCTCCCAACCTAGATTGTGTGTGAAGCTACATCTTAAGCAAGGGAAAAACCAAGGCAAGGAGGATTAAAGGACCCATGGCCTTGCCTCTTCCCCCTTGGACTCTGGTGCCTACCACTGTGCGATTGAGGCTTAGTGCCTGGTAGGCATGCACACACTTGTTTGCACAGCTGGACACATAGCCCAGTTGGCAGGAGGCCATCACCCTGAGTGGGTGACAGGGGCTGCCTTCTACTTTGACAGTCCAAGGGGCTTGGGAACATGCAAATACCCACATCAGGATCTCCTTTAGGGCAGTAGAAACAGGGATTGGGGTCAGTGTTTTTGGATGAATTCATACTCAGAACTCAGCCAAGAGATGCTACAGTACTGTCTTTGCCCCTCCTAACTCCTGGGGGCTACTCAGACCTAGCTGGCCATGTCAAAGGCCAGGCAGCTGTAGTCAGGACCTAAATGCCCCAGCCTGTAACTGGTTTGGCACTCTGGATCTGAGGGTGTATATGGAGATTCTGAGGAACTTTAAGGGGGTGGGCAGGGTAGGAGGGTTTCCTGATGTCAGAAGCCATGAGAGAATGGAGTATGATGGCACATACCTATAATCCCAGTGACTCAGGAGACTGAGGCAGGGGGATTGCAAGTTTGACATAAGCCTCAGCAATTTAGTGAGGCTCTCAGCAACTGAGGGAGACCCTGTCTCAAAAAATAAAATTAAATTAAAAGCTGAGTATGGAGTTCTGTGTTGTAAAGTGGCCCTGAGTTCAATCCTCAGTACCAAAAACAAAATAAAACCAGCAGCCATGGGGCTGCCCTGGAACAGTGAGGGGTTCCTCCAGGTCCTGGCAGGAAAGACCTCAGCTCTAACCCTGTGGCTGGCATCAGGGCCTCGACCCACCTGGGCCTGGAGAACTGAGAGCCTGCCTGCCTGCCTCTTCCCACAGGGTTTCCCAATATTCTCCCCTCTTTAGGCCTCTGACTCTTAGAGCTTGTCACTTTCTCTCTTCCCAGCTGTTCCCCTGCCCCCCAAATGGGTTAAAAATACCAAGGCTGCCACCACATCAGTAGCTCAGAGCAACTATTTCAAGTGGGCCCGGCCCTCTTTGAGGCAGATGAGCCTCGCGACTGTCTCCAAAGTCTGGGTCAGCCCATTCTACACTGAGAACATGAGCTTGGGTCTCTACCTGACTCTGCATACCCTGCTAAAAGGTCGTGGGTTTCATAGCTGTAGCTGCCCGAGGGTGTGGACAGTATGATGAACAGTCTTAGGTTGGGAGAGCTCTGGAGACACAGGGACAGGGAGCATTGACATTCAAGGGATGAGAAATGGCCAAGTCCCAACACTCCTCCAGGCAACCCCAGGCAATAGGGGATACCCACCTCATGAAGTTCCTCCAGTTGGGGTGCAGGATACCTGGGCAGCCCCTTTTGCCTGCCACCCCTCCATGGCTGGGAATTTCCCAGCTGTCAAAGACAAGGCAGAATTGAGAAGCCGCCCCCGCCAGTGCTAGGACAATAGAGCCTTATGCCCTCGAAAATCCAGCTGGGGTAGGAGGGCCAAGGGCAGGTGGAGGCCTAGCTGTCTGCACCCAGGGAAGCCCTGCTTGCCAGAACCCCACCCAGACCCACTGGCAACTCTGGTCCAAGGGGAATCCTAGCCAGAGCCCTGCATGGCCCACCCAAGGAGGGAGGCACTGAGTGCATGACAGGCAGACAATGCCAGCCCCTCAATGGTCCCTCTGTGCTGGGATCCCCCTCAGGACAGGGGGAAGGAACCATCTCCGGCACCCGCTTCCTGCTGGGCGGGCATCGGAACACTGGAACAGCTCTCCCCACCCGACTCGAGCATGTCTGGAACTAAGCGGGGTCCAGGCCCGAGCCTCATAGGGAAAGCAGGTGTCCTGGGATGGGCGCAGGTTGTTTTCCTTGTCAGTCAAAGGTAGCGGTAGCCATATTGGCCCATTGGAACTGGGGCCAGGAAGGAGGAGGCTGGGGATGGAAGGGGGGCGCTAATCTCCTTCCGACTCGGGCGGCCACAGGCTCTCATCTCCTGCCAGTACCCTAGGATCCGCTGCCGCGGGGCACCGGCAGGTGTGTGGAGGCGGAGCCCGAGGCCCAAGGTCCAACCCCTCCCTCTCCGCCTCCGCGGCGCCGACCCCAGCCCGCCACCGGCGCAAGCAGCTTTGTCCGGCCGCGGGCTCAGAGCCGCCGCCGCCGCACAAAGCTGCCTTTGTGCCCGCAGCCTCGGCGGAACCCGATGACGTCAGCCTCCGTGACCTGCCGGGAAGCGCCGAGCACGGACTGTGGTGCCTCCTGGCGGCCGGAGGCGGAAGCGCTGGCCCTAGAACCCCACCCAGCTGAGACCGGCCTTTCACCGTGTCTTCCAGGTGCTCAGCCTTCAGAGGTCTAAGAAGGCGCTGGAGGCGCTAGAGCGCTCGCCTAGCACGTGCGAGGCCCTGGGTTCGATCCTTAGCACCACATAAAAATGAATAAAAGGGGGCTGGGGATGTGGCTCAAGCGGTATTGTGCTCGCCTGTCATGCGTGCGGCTTCGATCCTCAGCACCACATACAAATAAAGATGTTGTGTCCGCCGAAAACTGAAAAATAAATATTGAAATTTTCTCTCTCTTTAAAAAATAAAAATAAAAAAAATAGATAAATAAAAGGTATTGTGTCCAACTACAACTAAAAAATAAGTAAAAAAAAAAAAAAAAAAAAAAGGTCCTGGAGCCTGGGGTTGGCACATAAGGCCCACCCCACTGATATCCATCACTTCAATTAGTTTCTTGCAACTTACACATTTGGAGCCCTAGCCCCCAATACAGCCAATGACCTGCAGCTTCCCAGGCCTCATGCACCTTAAGTGTGGTTATCTGCCTGTCTCAACCCTTCAGTTTTGAAAAGGTAGGCTCTGTAGTCATGCAGCGCACACGGCTGTGACCCAGCACCTCATACACCTTTGTACTTGGGAGGTCAGAAGTCACCATTTCCTTCTGCACTAGAGGTTGGCTGGGCACCCCTCTTGCTTGCAAGTGCAAGAACCCTTTAGAAGAGTTTCTGAGTCTGCCCAACTGCTTTGCCAGGCTTGCAAGCTGCCCCAAACCTGCAGAGAGGGGGGACATCCAGGCCTCTGCATACAAACTGACCAGTCCAGTGGGAAATTAAAGCTCAGAAAATTGAATCCCGGCCCAGGTGAGGACTGAGGTCCAGAGCAATCACTGAGCACATAAGTCGTGGTCTCCTGGGAGAAAGAAAAACCATCAAGTCTTGGCATTTTTTTCTTTCTACATTTTATTATTTCAAACCATGTGAACAATTCCATAAAACGTGAAAAAAGCAAGGAAGTGTTCAACGCTGAAGGACCCGGGCCTGGGGCGAGGGCATGAGGGGCCTGGCCCCTCAGCAGGCAGCGGCGGTTCCTAGGTTAGCGCTAAGGAGCTACATTTAGGTTAATGGAGCCTGGGCCCAGGGCCACGGGGTAGGGCCCTCTGTGATGTTGGCAGTTGTCTGGAACAGCCCTTGGAACCCAATTCCGTGGAGGGCAGGGCGGGGTGCTGCCCGCACAGGGGTGGCGAGCAGATGGATGGGTGTAAACACGCAGACACACTCAAGGCACGGAATCACTGGAAAGGGGTTGGGAGGGTGCTGGTCAGGATCTGAGTTTTAAATAGGTTTTCTCTAAAATTCTAGGTTTGCAGTTTTTTTTTCTTTACTTTCATTTGTTTTTAAAAGCTACGAGAATGAGCAGGTGGACTGTGTTCTCCAGGAATGGTGGCGTTTCACGCTTCTTGTGCTTTTTCCTTTGGGGCCTCCAAGCGGTGGGGATGGGGTGGGGTGGGAAGGAGGCTCCCTGTAAACATTTGGACTTGGGCTGGGTCAGGGCTGGTGTTGGGCGAAGCTAGGGGTCTGGACTGGAGAAGTGGGTGCCCCTCCAGACACAGGCCTTGGGAGATTCAGCATGTGCTCCCCCCACAGAACAAGATAACGGTCAGAAAATCAGAACAGATGCCCAGGAAGAGGTACCATAGCCACTCCTGGCACCTCAGAGTCAGGCTTTAGAGAGGCCTGTGGTAACCCCTCCCCTAAGACTGGAGCTGAGAGAGGGGAGAGGAACTGGAACAGAGGAAAGATTTGAGAAGCAGCCAGGGCTGGGTGAGGCAGGCTGGGAGTGTGGTCTTCTTGCCCCCATCTTCCTCAGGGACTGGGGGGAGCAGAGTCAGCGATGGCCCTGGAGGTGGGGACAGTCATGACATGGGTTGGGAGGTAGCTGGGTGTGCCTCTTCCTCCTGCCTTCCTAGACAATGACCCTCTCCTTTATTGAACTTGCAATCCTCCTGCCCAAGTCTCCTGATTCTCCCAAGTAGCTGGGATTACAGTCATGCACCTCCATACCCTGTTGAACCTCTCCTTTTCCCCACCCACCTTTACCAGGAACCCAGGTGTCACTCAAGAACTAGTTTCTGTTGAAGGTAGGGGAGATAGCAGCACTGGCAGAGTCATTACACCTCCACCAAGGCCAGTTGAGCCAGCCTGAGCCCAGGACCCTGTCTGAGGGAAAGGTGGCTAAGGACAAGTGCAGAGGTGGTCTCAGTGAGCAGTAAGTATGAACCTAGGCTCCTGTCAGCATCCAGCTTCCATCGGGTTAGGTCAGTGCCCTGGTGGGTGAGGACATGAGTTTTCTCCAAGGAATACTGGGATAGAACCAGAAGACCAGGCCCCTTTTTCTGGCTAGTGGGTTAGGCCTACCTGTGCTACCTCCTCAGTGCCCTGAATACGAATAAGTTGACCTGATGGCCCCTTCCCTCCCATCTTCAGGCTTACCACTCCCACCAGGTATCTCCCCAGGTCCCAAGTCTGTCCCTTCTTTTCTTCCCCAGCTCCCTGCCTCACCCCACTCTGGCTCACCATCCTGCCAGGCCCGCTGCCCCTCAGAAGAGGCCACAGTCCTTCAGGTTGTTCTTGATGATGACATCAGTGACAGCGTCAAACACGAACTGCACGTTCTTGGTGTCGGTGGCACATGTGAAGTGCGTGTAGATCTCCTTGGTATCTTTGCGCTTATTCAGGTCCTCAAACTTACTCTGGATGTAGCTGGCTGCCTCGTCATACTTGTTGGCCCCTAAGGGAGATGCAATAGTGAAGACTTGTGCTGTGTGTGGCAGGTGGGTGCCTTCCTATGTATATAGCAACTTTCTGTGCATGTGGATAGACAAGCATGTAACATGTATACATGCATAGTGACCACATATGAATATACATGCACACTCTATGTAAAGAGAGAACCTGCTGTGTGAAGGATGTGCCCATGTGTCCATGTCTGTGTGTCTATGTGTTTTTTGGTACTAGGGATTGAACCCAGCAATGCTCTACTACTGAGCTACATCCCCAAACCTTTTCATTTTTTATGTGGAGACAGTCTTACTAAGTTGAGCAAGCCGGCCTTCAATTTATAATCCTCCTGAATCAGCCTCCCGAGTCCCTGGGATTATAGTCATATGCCACTGTGCCTGGCCCCAAGTATATTAAGAATGCCCTGTGGCTGGGCATGGGGGCACAAATCTGTAATCCTAGTGACTTGGGAGGATGAAGCAGGAAGATCACAGTTTTGAGGCTAGCCTCAGCAATTTAGTGAGACCTTCAGCAACTTAGCGAAACCCTGCCTCAAAAATAAATAAATAAATAAAATTTTAAAAAGGGCTGGGGATGTAGTTCAGTGGTAAAGTGCCCCTAGGTTCCATTCTCAGTAACAAAAAGAGGGGAAGAAAAAAAAGGCCCTGTGTGTGCAGATACAGTTCATAAGCCAGCCTCTGCAGGTGTGTCTTATAGTCACTCTTCTGTCCAGAGGAGGGCGCCGATGGGCCACCTGGTCCCCACTGGCTCCTCTTGGGAAAGGCACCATCTCTCCCTAGAGGCAGTGTCTACAGTCCCCTCACCTGTGTACTCAGGAAAGCAGATGGTCAGCGAGCTGTGTGTGATCTTCTCCTCAAATAGGTCCTTCTTGTTGAGGAAGAGGATGATGGATGTATCCGTGAACCATTTGTTGTTGCAGATGCTGTCAAACAGCTTCATGCTCTCATGCATGCGGTTCTGGGGGCAGGACAGTGAGGTCAGCAATGGCAACCCCCCCCCAACCCTCTGCATTCTCTTATGCCCAGCGTTTTCTCCATCTCTCACCATCTCCTCATCCTCAGCTAGCACCAAATCATAGGCGCTCAAGGCTACGCAGAAGATGATGGCTGTGACACCCTCGAAACAGTGGATCCACTTCTTCCGCTCAGACCGCTGACCACCCACATCAAACATCCTGTGGACATAGATCACCTTAGCTCCAAGAAAGGGGAGATTCCCCACCCTGTTCACAGGCTGAGGACAGAGGTGTGTCCAGAGTGGGGCCACTGCCTTCATGGAACCATCCACTTGCCCACTTCACTGCTAGTTCACTGCTGGGGCAAGTCTTGATGGCAGAGGCTGTGAACAGCTGGCAGAAGTGACCACTGATTTACTAGGTCATGAAGACATGCTTTCCCCAAACGCACCCTTGAGAAACCTGAGTGGGACCAAGGAAGGCTGGCCTGGCCCCCACTCTGCTACCCCAAAGGCTGGCAGGTGTTGCCCCTCTACCCTGCCCACATGCCCGCTCACTTGAAATGTAGGTCCTTGAAGGTGAAGTGTGTTTCCACAATACCCGTGGTCTTCACACGGGTCCGCAACACATCCTGCTGTGTCGGGATGTAGTCACTCTGCGCAATGCGCTCCAGGTCATTCAGGTAGCTACAAATGGGGGCGGGGGTCAGTGGAGGCCTCCTGACACGGACCCTGGGTCAGCAGGAAGAGCCCCCCCTCCCTCCCACACCCACTTCTCAGGCAAAGTACTTGCTTCTTTAACTTCTGCCTACTTTACACTCTCTGCTTAGATAAGAAATCTGGACTCATAGCCTCTTGTCTCCCATCCACAGAAAGGGACTGGGAAGAGTTGAAGCTCAGTGGCCAGCCATCCAAGCCCCAGCTCCAGGGTTTTGGAACTTCAGAAAAGGGGGTAGAAGGGGGTGGAAGGGAGTGGAAGTGGGTGGAAGGGGGCAAATTAGTCCTTCAGGGAGGGATTCAGGATGCTAATCGTGCAATTATGGTAATTGCCGCAGAGAAGCCTGGTGTGGTCCCTTGATATGAGGCTGAACATGTTGGGGCCTGCCAGGCCCAGTGGGCACCAATAAAATTTTGGCTTCTTAGGGAGAGGGCAAAGATACCCGCTTGGCAGGTGTCCCAGGGGCTCCTCATTACCAGCTCCCTTAATTAGTATCAGTGCTACCTCTGTAGGCCTGTCTCAATATACTTGCTACCCTGGAGGCTGGATTTAAGCATCTACACCACTGCCCTCTACCCATGTCTTGCTCCTGAGGCAGAGCTGCTGGGGCCAGCAGCCGGGCCAAACCAGGCCAGAGGGAAATGATCTCAGAGACACAGGGACAGAACAGAAAAACAGGAAGGGCCATGGGGGACCATGACGCATATGCTGTGACCTGTGTGCCACACCCCAACCACTACTGACAGAGCCCCCAGCCTGAAAACTTCATGGTGGGTTCCACAGCTGCCTCTCCTTCTCAATAAGTGGATTCGCCCTAAGGACCCCCTGCCCTACCTGCAGTCTTAAGAGTATTGCAGTAAAGAGGGTTAACGTATTCTTGTTCCCTATGGTATTCCAATCCATACTCTACCCCTGGGTTATCTTGTCAAAGTATAACCTACCTGGGAGAGTAGAACCCTAATTCCTAAAACAATGTTGGAGGGCTGGGGATATAGCTCAGTTGGTAGAGTGCTTGCCTTGCATGCCCAAGGCCATGGGTTCAATCCACAGAGCCACCAAAAACAAACAAACAAAAAAAACATCTAAAACAGTGTTGGGCACCCAATGGGTGCTCAATGTCTGGGGAATGAAGAGTCAGGATGGTAGAGAAGTGGGAAATTGCCTATAGGTGGCTTTAACCCTATCCTCCTTGAGTTTTAGGAGCACTGAAGTGGCAATGGTTGACTGAGCTTACCCCTTCCTGCCCCTGTGTCCTACAAGCTCTGCTGGTGGCTGAGCCTGTGACCTCAGTGAGGTGGGGGTACCACTGAGGCCTATAGGCCCCTACAGTATTTGCTATAATCCTGCAGCTTCTATGGAGGGGACACACTCACAAGGGGGCGGGGTCAGGCCATACAAGGAGGGTAGAGGGAGGCTGCCCATAAGATGAGGGGCAGGACTGGAAAATCCTGGCCAGGCAAGTCCTTCTTCTCACCCACCCTTGAGAGGTCCAGCCCCTCTTAGGTGGGCTGTGGCCTGGACAGGCAGTGAAAGTCAGAAAGATGTTCCACACAGGAGTCCTAGCTGGAGCCTCTGCTCCAGGAGGGAGAGAGGACAGGAATTGCAGCCTATCTGGTTCCAGTATCTGTGGATATCCCCTAGAACCTCTCTTTCCCATCCTTGTGGGGTCCTCAGCACCCTGCAGCAGTCCTGACACATGGTAAGGACTGTAGGGAAGGAGTTTAGAACTGTGGGCTGGGCTGAAAGGGTCCAGACCTATTACACATCTGGGATTCTTGGGATTCCCTGTGATTCCCCAGATGAATATTGGGCTCACCCTGGAGCCAGCAAGGGTCAGGACAGAGGTACAGGTTCCAGCCTGTGCACATGCCTGTCACCTTGCACAGAATCTCTACTCACTTTGCGTGTCCCTCTCAGGCTGATCTGATCTCAGTGCCCTCAAGCACAGCCCTGGAGTTTGTACACACCACACTCCTACCTGGAACCCCTGACCATCTTCCCATGGCTAGCTCTTTTTCAGCACTCAGCTGAGATGTCCTTCCACTGGACATCTCCCTCATGGCGCTGACACCCTCAGCTGTCACTGTTTGGGAACTTATCTGCTCCACTTATCACTATGCCCCTGAAGGCTTGCATGGGGCCTGACACAGAGCAGGTGACAGTAAATGTTCTTTAGAACAATTGTGCAAAAAGACAGATAAGGCTTAAGTGGCCTATAAGAATACTGTACAAGCCACCCTATCATTCCTCCTGGCCTTTTAATACTATGCCACCCCATCCCATCCAACCCCACAAACCACCAAAGCTTTGGTTGACAATCATCAGCTTCATAACCAGACACCAGTAGTACCTCATTGGGGGTGCTCAGGTTCTACAGTCCAACCCATAGTCTAGACCTCCCCAGACCCTTGCTCTCTACCCAGCCCCTTGGAGCACTCACTAGGCTGCTGAGTCGTTGAGCTGGTACTCCCGCGAGCGGCCAAAGCAGGCCTGCACACCTTGATCAGCCCAGAGCCTCCGGATGATGCTGGACAGATCCTCAGGGAGCATGCCCTGCTCCTCAGCAGTGCAAGACAGTGCAAACAGCTGCCTGGCATCGTCCTAGGTACAGCAGTGGTGGGCAGTCAGCCAGTTGAAGGACCATACCCCCACCCTGCCTGTCAGAGCCAGGGAGTCCTCTGGAATGGGGCCCAGGCTGGGATATTCTGATTCCCCAGGACAAGATTCCCTTAAAGCCTTATGGCTTAAAGCCTTGTGGGAAATGGGTGGTGGTGGAGGATGTACATACCGCACGTTGGGAATCAGCAAAGTCAATCTGCAGGTTGCCCATGGCCTTGACAATGGCCATGATGGACTGGATGGTGTTGCTGTAGACAACTGCCCGGTATTGCCGGCATTCCTCCTCTGAGTAGCCATCCTCATGGATGATCCTGACAGCCAGGGGTCAGGAGTTAGGGTCCACAGGGCACAGGGAGTTCATATGGCTTCCTGGGGCTGCTGGGGCCTGCTTCAAAGAGGGAAAAACTGCCCCCAACCCACCAGGGCTGATAGATAGATGACTAGCTATAAGAAGTCTGGGCCTGGTTGAGCCTATACTGGGGGCAATACAGGCCCATGGGAAGAAAAGGGGAAATCAAAGTTTGGGGACTGACTGTGTGCATAGCACTTACTTCATCTGCTTGACGATGGTGCTCTTCCCTGACTCCCCGGCACCTGGAAGAGAGGGCACAGGCAGTCAGGGGCAGGCCCAATAGGGCTCCACAGGCCTGCCCCTGTAGCCCTAGAGGCAGAACCCAATCTCCACATCAGTGGCACAGTGAGAGGGAGGCAGCTGGCAGGGCCATATTGGTCAAGAACCTAGAGTACCTGTCCCATGGAGACTGTCTATAGGCCTTTTCCTCCGTAGACTTCACTGGCCCCCATGGCTCCCCTCTGCCTTGGTTGAGTTCAAGGAGTCTTGACCAGAGACTTAAGGCCAGCCCTGCATTCCCTGTCATCCTCACATTGGCTTGCTGCCCTGTGCACCTGGGGCTCACCAACATGGCACCTCAAGTAGAGCTGGTAGGAAAGTGCCTTGTATACTCCAGCAGGACAGTAGCCCCTCTTCTCCCCACATCCTGAACCTTAGCTTCCTGGGGACCTAGGCTGGCACACAGTGTCATACTCATTTCTCTTGGATGTGGCTCAAGCTCTCTGCTGGATGGGGCAGGTCTGCTCTGAGCATATGGAGCATAGAATCTCAGAGACCTGGAACCACATGGAGTCACACACAAACACACACATCCCTCTATACTGGCTCAAGCTTCTTCTTTAACCTGTCAGAGCCTCTACCCCATATTTCTTTTCAGCTTATTCTCTGAGATTTGCTGCCATTCTCTCCTGTTCACCACAGCAGCCCCTACAGGCACTGTTTTTACTCCCATTTTTACAAATGAGGACTTTGGGGCTCAGGAAAGTAAAATCTTGGTCCAGAATTGTACAGCCAGGATTCAGAAAGACAAGGGAATACCAAGAACCATGTTGCCTAGTCTACCTTGCCTTTCTCAAAACATGGCTCAGATCTCCAGGACCATGCCCTGGGAGGGTATTTAAAAAGACAGATTCTGGGGCTAGGGGTGCAGTCCAGCAATAGAGTGCATGCCTAGCATGGTTTAATTCCCAGCACCTTAAAAAAAAAGAGAGAGATAGGACAAGGATGGACAGACTGGAAATAGGGCCCTACCTCTCCCCGCACTGCTCCCCTGTTCTGAGCTACAGGTAGAATGGCCCTCAGCCAGGCCCCACTCTCCTGCCCAGGCTTTGCCCAGACTGTCTCCTCCTGCCAGACACTGCCTCTTGTCATCTCCAGACCTCTGCTCATGCTGTTCTCTTTGCTGTGCAGACCTGCCCCATGCTCCATTTCTGGCATCCCAATTCTCCTGAGCATTGTGGCAGGGCCATCCCTCTGAGCAGCTCAGGAGGATAGGTGGCAGGGTCTATGGGGAGGTTAAACTTGAGGACTGTGACTCGGCCACCAGCAACCCTAGGGGCTGATAAAGACAGCCTCAGAGGATAAAGGGGCTAACCTACAAATTAGCATGAGCAAACATCAGCAATGATACTGGCATTACTGTAAAGAGTACCAGATGATATTACATTCACTAGGTACTTTAATCCTCACAGCAACCTTGAGAGGTAGGTTCTACTCTCATCCCTGTCTAACAAATGAGGAAACAGACACAAAGAGGTTGAGGTAGCACAGTTATAGCCCCCTGTGTGGGTGGCCCACCTCATTCCACACACCATTCATTCTAGAGTTGTCCTAAATAATTCATACCACAGCTAGGCCACACAGTCCTCTGGGGCCAGCTGTACTCCTCACTGGGATACTGAGTTCACTCCCTACCTGCCCCAGGCCAACTCTGGCCCCAGTCTATATGGTGCCCAACAAGCAACAGCAGCATTAGCAGACACCAGGACTGGGTAACAGACATTTCCAAGGGCCTTGCCCAACTTAGCTCTCCTACCTGAGAATTTTTTTTTTTTTTTAAGATGACATCTCACAATGTTGTCCAGGCTGGTCTTGAACATGTAGACCCAAGTGATCTTCCTGTGTCAGCCTCCAAAGTAGCTGGGACTATAGGCATGTATGGGAGGCTTCAGACCCACATTTTACTAGGAGAAACTGAGATCTAGCTATGACCCTTGCAAGAATGGGTTTGGGCATATCCCTATTCCAGTGGCTACTCTGAGAGGACCTGAACTCTCCTTATAAATGCTACCGGTGCCTGTTTCAATTTGTCCCAGGCCTGCTTCCTAGGATAGGAGAGGGTACTGGGTGGTATAACGTGTAGGCTCTGGGCAGGTGGAATAGTGATTCCCTCTACGGTTTCAGCCCTGGGCATTAGGGGCACCTGGCCCCATTTAGTTGCCTGGTTGTGGACTGCAGTCAGATGGCAGCACCCTCCCCCTCTACTGGGCTGCACATAGCAGAGCAGCCAGGATCCCTCATACTCCACAGGGCTGGTAGGGATGTGGAAGGCGTAGAAAGCCTGGTAGTAATACCCAATCAATGGGACCATGTCCCTGGGGCCTCAATAGCAACTCAGGAAGGGAGGGCAGCAGCGGCCATCTGGCTCTCCTTCCCTCTTGCTCCTACAGAGAAAAAGGAAGGAGGCACATTTAGAGCAGAGGAAGAACTAGGAGTGAGCCAGAGAGTTTTAGGATTGGGGGCCCCACTGGGACAGCAGAGACCAAGGATGTAAATTCATGGGTTAGATCAATATGCTGACCCCAGCCAGTAGAATCAAAACTCAGAGCAGAGCAACTGTCCAGGATACAGGAGACCTTGGAAAGGTAAAGATTTGCTCCCCCTTTGTTTCTTTGGGACCCCTAACCACCATCGGTTTCTCCCATCTGACCACTAAGAATTGAAAAAGCATCTGGTCTTCTGATCTTTCTCTTTCTAGGTAGCTTGGGTCACTCATGACCCCGCCCAGTGATAGGGATAAAGCACAAACTTGCTTTGAATCTCATTTTCCTAGCAGAGCTGGTAGACATCAAGACACCGATAGCAGCACCTGAGCATGCCAGGCCTGAAGCCAGGACACTCCGTTCTCTGCTCCACCCACTTCCCTGTCCTCTTCAAGCCTCAGTTTCTCTTCACAAAGTTCTCAAATGCTAAGAGTTAGGAGGATATTCTCTGGCCCCAGCAGGGGTTAATGCAAACAGAACCCCCTTTAACAGGTAGACTGATCAAGGTCATAGAGCTTCCATCCTTGGATTCAGGGTGGTCCCTTTGTTCTTCCAGTAGTTGTGACTCAGGCGGAAAATAGTGAGAGGGAGAACAAGGGCGTGGTGTTGGAAGCCAGGCAGAAAGCAGGAAGATACCAGGACAGAGTCAAGGCATTGCCCCAAGAAGCTACACAGGGGAGGGGCCAGGAGCACCGTGGTGGGGCACATGGGACTTCCAGTGGAAAGGGTGGGGTGAAGACCCTGGCTTTCTGGCAGCATCTAGGCTGAGTGCCTGGGGAGCTTTGGGGCTGCAGTCTTGTTCTTCATTCCCTAGGCTGGGCTCCTTCTCTATCAGGGCCTGATGGATCTCCTCACCAGATAAGTTGGCATCTGGCCCAGAGTTTGCTTGCACCCTGCTGATTGGGGGCATTCAGCTTCCCCAACCAAGCCCTGTATCTTTCCCTTAGGAGGGACCTTCCCCAGCTGACTCCAGATTGCTGCAAAGGGGCAGGGGAGCTCTGCCAATAGGTGACAGAAATCAGCTCCTTCTGCTGAGAGAGGACTCCACTGGGTACTCCATCCTCAGCTGGGTGAGACCAGAGGGGCCCACAGAGGTTCCCTGCGGGGGGTGGAGATGGGGCTTGACATTCCCACCGGGTCACACTTCTTTCCACCAAGGAAGCCACCTCTGAAGCCTAGCCCGGTGGCATAGCTGCTGAGCTCAGAGCAGGCAGGCAGTGACTACAGCAATGTGCTGGGCTCCAGGGGCTGCTCTGCATTAGAACAGCTGCCTCTACTGTGGGGTGTTGAGCTCCTGTGGAGGAGGGGACAATGGAGGAAAGGAGACAGTAACATCCCATCTGTCTGAACATAGCCAGCAGGGCCTTGCAGAAAGAGAGAGCTCCATAGATCCACCTACTTGATGCTGATCCCAGGTCCCAGTATCTAAGTCACTATCCACCCATCTTGGACCCTCTACTCCCCCCATTAGGCATTACTCTGCTGGGAGGTAGTAATAAGCTGCTGTCCTCTTTGACCTCAGTGTCTCCTCTGAAGACTGCCAAGCACTGAGAGGCCAGACAGCCCATCTTCTCACTTTCAGATCTTTTCCCAGAGAGGTCCAGACCCGCCATGGCCCTGCTGCTCACTGTGATCCTTCCTGAGATCTCCATGAACTTCAACTCCCTTCCTGCCCTTTCTCTGGTACCTCACCTGTGAAATGGAATATCCCATTATCTTCTCCTGGGAAAGGGGTGAGGATTTAATGCAAAGCTCTTCTCACAGTGCCTGACACATGGTAAGCATTCAGATAAAAATTCACACTTCTCCCTTGGGAAGAACACAGATTTCCCCAAATCTCTCATTTGCTACAACCCATATTGACCATGCTGTGCTGGTCACTGTGACAGCAACTTGCAGAGTGGACTGCTGTGGTCATCTCATTTGAAGGAGAGCTTCTGAGAGCTTTCAGATAAAGAGTGGATGAAGAACAATGAATGGTGACCAACAGGCTGATTCAGAGAGTGGTAGTTCCCTGCTTGGATTTAGTATAACCTGGGACAGGAGTAAGAACCAGTCAGTCTCCTGGCTTTTTGTCGAGTTCATCACTCCTTTTCCACAGCACTACCTCTCCTACAGGGCCCTCCTTCCTGCCCAGGAGCCTTCCCACTAATATTGCTCACTGACTACACACTTAAAAGGCTGAGAAGGCTTGGGAAAAGGCCTCCCTGAAGAGAGTTCCCAGGCTGGTGGGCTCTCCTGGAACACATGGGGTAAGGGAGAGCAGCCAGCTGACGTGGCAGCCCAAGGGCAGAGATTCTCATAAGCAGCAGTGGCTGGAACCACAGGGTAGACTTGGGCAGCAGCCCAGCTCAAACCCACAGCACCAGGCGCACCCATGCTGTCACAATCTTCTCCGGCCTATCCTGGTGGGGCACAAGGTAGGGGGAAAAATCGGGGTGGGCCCTGGAAAGCCCACCCCAAAGGCAACCCAGACATAA